TCTCTGTCTCTCTGTCTCTCTCTCTCTCTCTCTCTCACACACACACACACACACACACACACACACACACACACAGCGTACTGGTCTGGGGTGTAAAGAAGGCCCTGAGCTGCTTACTGAAATGTTGGAGGTCTGAGTTCAACCCTAGTGTGGCTTGGTGATCTATTGCTGAAAAAAAATCAGGCATTAAACCCACTGTGGAGCACATTTCTACTCTGACTCACATGGCGTTGCCATGGATTGGATCCAACAGGATGAATAACTGGTTAACTGATGGGGTGGGAAATGCTGAATTTAGTTGTGGGATGCTGGCGGGCCAGCTAGGTGAGCTCGAACAGGCAGGGAGCCTCAGTGGGTCGATGCCTGCTTTAGGAGACACTGTTCACATTTTATTTTCTGCATGTGCCACTCCTTGGAGTTGTGTAGCCACAGCTGTCACATTTATTTATAGGAAAAAAAGAGAAACAAAGGACCAGAATAAAGAGAAACGTCAGTTCTGGGAAGATACAGGGGAACCATCTGCTTAGATGGAGTTTCTCGTATTCCACCTCTCTTCTGTTTTGCTTCCACATCTTAGTCTAATAACCTTTTCTGGTTATCATGTCTTCTTCCCACCAGTTTCCTGGCTGGTCCCAGGGCACAGACGGCTCACTGATCATTGCTCTGGGGAATGAGGACGCCCTGGGAGAATACTCCTGCACGCCCTACAACAGCCTTGGCACGGCAGGGCCCTCTCCAGTGACCCGAGTGCTGCTCAAGGTAAGGGTGACCCAGCAGAAGTGGGCCAGGTGGCCGAAGATGCTTCACTGCTGAGACCAGGCTGGTCAGAGGCGTCTGGACAGCTGTGGGAGGGGGCCCCCTAAGTCTGGCTTTTCCACTGCAGCCTCAGTAGCAGCCAGATGCTAATCACAGAGATTTTTGTAGAGATGGTGCTGAGGAAGTAGGACATTACATCCACAACATAGCTACAAAATAAAATAGAACAATGGATAGAAAAGGACCCTAACCATCCTTGACCTTGACCCCAGAGCCACATCCCTCTCTGGAGCTCTGGAGAGGATGAGGATGGATAACAAAGAGGAGAGTGAAAGAGTAGCCTGAAGTTTGGACCTCTCTACTCAACCACTAATGCCTATCTGTGCCAGTATTTCCCTTTAGTGCTGCCCATTCAATCAAGAGAGAGCAGGGAGTGGGGGGAATGAGAGAGAGTGAGACAGAAGGTGTGACAGGAAGGGACTAAACTACCCTATCTAGCCGTGTAAGAGAAGCTACCAAAGAACCCACTCCCAATGCCAGACCTGGCTTGCAGGCCCCCCCAGCTTTTGTCAAACGGCCCAAAGAAGAGTATTTCCAGGAAGTGGGGCGGGAGCTGCTCATCCCCTGCTCTGCTCAAGGAGATCCCCCTCCTACTGTCACTTGGACCAAGGTACGATTCCTGCCCCATTCCCCTGTGCCCACCACATCTCTGCCTCTTCACCCTCCTGGGACATTCTGTGGGAAGGTGGATGTAGTAAAGAGAAGGCTGGTAGAGGCAGGTTGGGAGGAAGCTGGAGCAACCCCAGCGAGACGATTGGCGCCCTTGGTGAGGGGTGGCTGCGTGTGTCCTCAGGGCTGACCAGTGGTTCTGTAGGTGGGCCGAGGGCTGCGGGGCCAGGCCCAGGTGGACAGCAACAGCACCCTGATCCTGCGGCCACTGACCAAGGAGGCCCACGGGCGATGGGAGTGTAGTGCCAGCAATGCTGTCACCCGAGTGACCACCTTCACGAATGTCTACGTGCTGGGTAAGTGGCTGGAGGGGGGGCGGGACTGGAGGAAACCATATGGGAGAGGAGATAAGGGCACATTTTTTTGAGACCCACATGGGGGGACCCTGGGATGATAGTCGAAAGAAGAGGCTCCCCTTAGCTTTTCACATTCAGTAAGGTCCCCTAACCACAGTCCCTTGCTCCGTTCTCCCCATCTAGGCACCAGCCCCCATGTTGTCACCAACGTGTCTGTGGTACCTTTAGCCAAGGGTGCCAATGTCTCCTGGGAGCCTGGCTTCGATGGTGGCTATCTGCAGAGATTCAGTGTCTGGTACACCCCCCTGTGAGTGTCCCTGCCATCACTGTGCCCCAGCCTCACCTCCTGCTCTCTCCGCCTGCTTCTTTGTGGCCCTCTAGGCCAACCCTCAGCCCTGGTCCTGCCGTGCCCTAGCTCTGCTGCCCTGATCACAGAGACTCTTAGGTGTTTGGGTCCTAAAACCTGGATAGTTGAGAGTTGGGGAGGAGGAACTTCGGCTCTCCAAATCCCAAATCTTCCTGGTCTCTTAGCTCCTGAGATGCCCCCCTGTTTCCTCCTGCCCCCTCCCCAGGGCCAAACGTCCTGAGCGAGCCCACTATGACTGGGTGTCCCTGGCAGTGCCCGTGGGAGCGGCTCATCTCCTGGTGCCAGGGCTGCAGCCCTTCACGCAGTACCAGTTCAGTGTCCTGGCTCAGAACAAGCTGGGCAGTGGGCCCTTCAGTGAGATCGTCTTGTCTACTCCCGAAGGTGAAGCCCCTCGCTCCAACCTTGGGGCCCAGAGGGCCTTGTTGGAAATGTTTTGGGTTTTTCTTCAGGGGCTGTGAGAGAGAGCAACTGGGTCGCGGGGGCTATGGGAGGCGAGGGAGGAAGATGAGGGACTGGATCTCATCTTTGACTTGCTTTTCTGTGCCCATCAGGGCTGCCTACGACACCAGCTGTCCCTAGTCTTCCTCCAACAGAGGTGCCACCTCCTCTGTCCCCTCCCCGCAGTCTGGTGGCAGTGAGGACACCCCGAGGGGTGCTCCTTCACTGGGACCCTCCAGAATTGGTCCCCATGAAGCTGGATGGCTATGTCCTGGAGGGCCGGCAAGGCAGCCAGGGCTGGGAGGTGCTGGATGGGGCTGTGAGAGGCACGGAAATGCAGCTGTTGGTGCCGGGTCTCATTAAGGTATATGGAAGAGGCGGTTGCCTGGGAGTTCCTCCAAATAACTTTTTAGCCCCCTTTTCCATTCCCGGGTGTTTATATCAAACCCTCATTTGACTGTCTTTACCCCTTGCTTACTACCTCATCTTTAACTTACTTCTACCCTCGCCCACACCCAACTGAAAGACTTTGCAAATGAGGGGCTGGCGTAGGTCATATTTGGCCCTGACCCTCTTCCTGGTACCCCCAGGACGTCCTCTATGAGTTCCGCCTCGTGGCCTTTGCTGGTAGCTATGTCAGTGATCCCAGCAACACTGCCAACGTCTCCACTTCTGGTGAGAACCTGGAGGGAAGGAAGGGTACTGGGTGCTGGGGTCTTCAAGCCCAGCAGGTCTGTGGCATTGAGCCTCTCACTGCCCTTCCCTTTCCAGGCCTGGAGGTCTACCCCTCGCGCACGCAGCTGCCAGGCCTCCTGCCTCAGCCCGTGCTGGCCGGCGTGGTGGGTGGTGTCTGCTTTCTGTGCGTGGCTGTGGTCGTGAGCATCCTGGCCGCCTGCTTCATGAACCGGCGCAGGGCTGCCCGGCGTCGCAAGCGCCTTCGCCAAGGTAGGACCTTCCGCCTAGGTAGACACCCCTTTGCTGTCATCCAGTGGGCTGGGGGTTGGTCCATTTGCTTTTTAAAACCCAGACACCAGAAGAGCCCTCCTTTGTGGTCCTTTCCTGGAGCCCAGGGTCTTATAGAGCCTTGCCACCTATTTTCCCACCTGTATATTAAAACCTTCTGCACCAGGCAGGGTGCTGAGAATTGGATCAGTGGGTTTGTGCCTGGGGCCCTTTTGCTTGTGTTTTTACAAGTAGCTCTGGGGGTGTAGCATGTAATGTGGTGTTCTGCTAATCAGAAGGTTGACACTTTGAAGCCCCCAGCTGCTCTATGGGAGAAAGATAGGCAGTCTCCCTTCCTGAAGATTTACATCCTTGGAAACCTGATGGAGAGTCACTGTGAGTCAGAATGGACTTAGTGACTCTGTGTGTGTGTGTGTGTGTGTGTGTGTGTGTGTGTTCTCTCATGTCCTTACAGATCCACCTCTTATCTTCTCTCCGCCCAGGAAATCAACCCCTCAGTAAGTCCTCCCCTCTATGATGCACCTCTGCTTTCCTGTTGTACCTGCTAGTGTCCTCTGCTTCCTTTCCTACACCATGGGAAGGGATGGGAAGATAGAAAACAAGAGTTTGGAGAGAGGAGGGAACTGGGGTGCAGAGGCCCTAGCATGGGGCTGGTCCGGTGTTGCAGTACCATCCCTCCACCCTCCCACCGTGTTGGTCGTTTTCTCGCTTGCTCTCCCTAGCTCTGCTCTGTTGTGCTCCAGACCTCTCAAGGCCTGACGCTGGCTCCTGGGAGGGGGCCAGGCCACAGACCCTGATCTCCTGTCCCTCCCCAGCTCTGCTCCGGGCTCGGGCAGTCCTGACAGCGTGGCAAAGCTGAAGCTCCAGGGCTCCCCTGTCCCCAGCCTGCGCCAGAGTCTGCTCTGGGGAGAGCCCACCGGACCGCCCGGCCCCCCTCCGGATCCTCCACCCAGCCGGGTGCCCTTACCCTTGGAACCCATTTGTCGGGGACCAGATGGGCGCTTTGTGATGGGGCCTAATGTGGAGCCCCCCAAAGAAAGGCCAATCACAGAGCGGCTGGAACCTCGGACACCAGCCCAGAGTCAGGCTCTGTCCTTTGACTGTAGTAGCAGCAGTCCCAGTGGGGGCCCCCAGCCTCTCTGCATTGCAGACATCAGCCCTGTGGGCCCCCCTCCAGCAGCTCCACCCAGCCCCCTGCCTGGTCCAGGCCCCCTACTCCAGTACCTTAGCCTGCCTTTCTTTAGGGAGATGAATGTAGATGGGGACTGGCCTCCCCTGGAGGAACCCAGCCCCACTCCACGTCCAGATTACATGGATATAAAGCCCTGCCGTACCTCATCCCTCCTTAGACCCCTGGACTCCCCTCCTATTTCCCCCAAGGCAACACTCCCTGGGGCTCTGCTAGGGGCTGCCCCCTCGGAGACCCCTTACACAGCACTGACTGACTGGACTCTGAGGGAGCGGCTGCTGCCAGGCCTCCTCCCTGCTGCCCCTCGGGGCAGTCTCACAAGCCAGAGCAGTGGGCGGGGCAGTGCTTCCTTCCTGCGGCCCCCCTCCACAGCGCCTTCTGCGGGAGGCAGCTACCTCAGCCCCCCACCAGGGGATACCAGCAGCTGGGCCAGTGGCCCTGAGAGGTGGCTTCGAAGGGAGCACGTTGTGACAGTCAGCAAGAGGTGAGGGCAATCTTTGCTCATTCCTTTCCAGTCCTGCTCTTTATCTCAGAACTTCTCCCCAATGCCCTCCTTCTCTGTCCTGTCCAACCTGAGCCAAGAGACCTCATCTTTTGCTGAAATTCAGGGATATTTTGTCCCTGAGTGGCAAAATGGTTAAACTCTTGACTACAGCTGAAAGGTTGGTGGTTCAAATCCATCCAGAGACCCCGTCCCAAAAATAGGCCTGAGGATCAGCTTCTAAAAGGTGAGAGCCTTGAAAACCCTATATATGTAGTTTTATTTTGTACACATGGCATCACCACAAGTCAGAATTGATTCAATAGCAAATAGTTGTTTTGATTTAAGGATGTTCAGGAAAATCCGGGGATCCCAGCTCCAGCCTTTCCTGGATCTTTTCTATTTTTTCACCTACGCTATTTTTTTGTCTACCTAACAGGAGGAACACATCTGTGGATGAGAACTATGAGTGGGATTCAGAATTTCCTGGGGACATGGAACTTCTGGAGACTTTACCCCAGGGCTTGACAGGCTCCCGGACTCGCTCTGAAGCTGAGCCGGAACTAGGTGTGTGAGCCCTGCAGAAGGCAGGCACTCCTGTCCTCACTGTCCCACAGCCTTTGAAGCCTGAGGGCTCAGTCTGTTCCCAGCCAGACACGGTCCCCACTGGAGCCCAGTTTAGACTCCTCCACTGTAGATGGTGTCTTGCTCCCACGGCTCATCTGCACTCTGTGAGCCTCAGTCTTCTTCTCATTCTCCTGCCCTCTTGCAGGTATTAAGACCTTAGATGAGGCTTGTCCCCTGAACACGGCTTATGCGTCTGGCCCAGAGGCCCGCTGTGCTGCCCTTCGAGAAGAATTCCTAGCCTTCCGCCGCCGCCGAGATGCCACGCGGACCCGATTCCCAGTCTATCGACAGCCAGTCTCTCACCCAGAACAGGCTACTCTGCTGTGAACATCCCTTGGTGTGAGACTGGACAGAGGAATGTGGACCCTCCAAAGAAGACCTCTCCAAGATTAAGTTTCAATCTGGGGCACTACCCTGGCCCCTTGGTGCCCAGACACAGACTCATGGTGGGCTTGGGTATGGTTTGACATGAGGTTTGTGCTGATCCCTCGTGTAGTCTGGGGACTGGAACGAGGACTTTAGGTCCATTCCTGTGTATGTGTGGAAGTGTGTGTGGGTGTGGGTGTGTGGGTGGGTGTGTGGTGTATTGTTTGTGGTGTGGGTGAAGTTTTTTTACAGGTGAATTAAAAAAAATCTGAAAAATGAGTCTGTGTGTTATCTGGCCTGGAATCTGAGGGAGAGGTGGGAAAATCCCTGACCCCTTAAAGAGAGCCTTCCTGAATGAATGGAGGTGCATTCAACATTCATTCAAAGTGCATTTATTGAATCTCTGCTGAGGTCACCAACTAAGAACCCACCATTGAGTTAAATGCTGGGAAAATAGAGTTCACTAAGACATGCCTTTGCCCTGGGGAGTTCTGTAGTCAGTGAGGCAGGCCAGTAGGGAAATAGTTAGAGGATGATGTGGTAGGTTATGTGATAAAGCCATGTGTTGGTTATTGTGGTAGCACAAAGGAAAGAGTTCCTTTTAAGTCAACAAACATTTAGTGAGTGCTTACAGCATGTGTTGGATCAAATGCTGCTTTGGGTTGGATACTTGCTAGCGCTTCAGAGGCACCCTCACAGAGAGTGGTAATGATAATAGCTAGCATTTGAGCAGCTACTCTGTGCCAGGCACTGCTTGCTAAAAGCCGTTTACATGTATTATTTAGTACTCTACAACTCTGTGGCAGGCACTATTTGTCTTATTTTATAGACAGACTACCTTAGTCATTTGCCTCAAATTTCACATCTGCTAAGTAGCAGAGTAGAACAGAAGCTAGTCAAGGAAGAAAAAAGGATTCTATGTACAGGAACAATCTGTGGAAAGGCTACTCATTGCAGTCAAGTTGGAACCAACTTATAGGTGACCCTCCAAGTGTTCAAGGCTATAAATTATATGGGAGGAGCTTTCCTCTTTGTCCCTCAGAGCTGTTTGGTGGATTTGAATTGCCAGAGAGGCGTAACCTTTGCGTTAACAGGACAACTCTCTGGGGCTGGGCCACTAAAATTACCTGTGTAAAGGCCTGTTGTTAGGTGCTGTGGAATCCAGTACAACCCTGTCTTATCCTATGCCATCCTCATCATCTCTGACACACCCGAGCCCATTCCTGCAGTCGGTGTCAATCCATCTCTTTGGGGTCTTCCTCTCTGTTGACCCTCCATCTTTCCAAGCATGATGTCCCTTTCCAAGGAATAATCTCATCTAGCCTAGCAGGGGCTCAGTGAAGAGCTTGATTACTACTAACTCTTAAGTGTTGGTGGTTTGAATCTACGCAGTCACTTCAAAAGAAAGGCTTGGTGATACACTTTGGAAAGGTCACAGCCTTGAAAAGCAGTGGAGTCCAGTTGAGGAATCTGAGTTTATTTCCAAGCAATTGTTTTTAGGACTGGAGAAAGCGTGGAAAAAAGTGTGAGCCAGCTTTCTGTCACTGTTCTTGAAACACTGGCGAAACAAACTACCACACGTGGGAAACTCCCCTGATGGAGGACCTCATGCTAGCAGTACTTTGCTTAATTCCAGTCAGCTTTAGGGGGCAGGGTGCTCCTTCACCCCTAAACTAGGTTGGTTCCTATAAAATACAGCTTCAGTAGCCACTGAATCCCTGCCGGCTTCCCTATGCAGTGGTGCTTCCGCTTCAGATTCCTCCATTTAAGAAAAGATGTCATCCCATAAAGGAGGAGATGAACGGGAGAGAGAAACCACTCCTGAACTCTAGGTTTCAAAGCTAACCACGCCTCTTGGGCCTTGGGCAAGGAGTGACCTCACCTTTAATCCTGTCCAGGCTTGATGAAGGTGGCAAGCAGGGCCATGTGGGGGTGCTGTCCCAGCCTGCAAAGCCCAGTCCATTTGTCGCACTCTTGTCAATTGTCAAGGAGTAAAATAAGGAAGGGTGGTGGGAGATGTTCCTGTGTCTCTTTACCTTATGGGCCGTTATAAACCAGGGAACATCTTTTCACGTAAGCACATCTACAGTTTCAAACTGTCCTCCTAAACAGGGCGCGGATCTACGTGGATTCCCCCCACCCCAGGGTCTCTACGGCGCGCTCGGCCCAGTCCTCCCGTCTCCTGCACGCCTACCTTGGCCCTGCCTGCGGCGCCTTTAAACTTGCAACCCTGGCCCCGCCCCTAGCCCACCCCGTCCGAGGCGGGAACCGCCTGAAAACTCCGGGCGGAGCAGCCGCGCACCATTCGCCGCCGCTGCAGCCCTGCCCGCAGTGCCGCTCTCTACCTGCGTGTCCGGTGAGCAGGGTTCCAAGTGGGGGGGATTCGCGCAGGCTGCAGGAAGCAAGGAGCCCGCGCTTGGGACTTGCACCCGCGAGCTTGGGGATCAAGGACTGGTTCAGGCTACGGTCCGATGGCTGCTCTGTCCGGCCCCGTGCTGTCTCCTCCTGTCCCCCGGCTTCGACCCGCAAGGTTGGGTGGTGAGGCCAAGCGAGGTTTGCCCATGCATGGACGGGGCGTCCATCCGGTGCGGTGCCTCGGCGGCTGAGCCGTAACCACTGATTGCCCGTCGGGTGGAGGAGAGGAGGGCGTCGGGTTGAGCAGGCTGGCCCCGCGTGACGGCCCTGATCCCGCTTCCCGCGCCCCTCTTCCCTCGTGGGTCCCAGAAGCACGTGTGGGCGCTGCTCACGATCCCTGAGCCCGCACGCTCCATCCTTCTGCGGGCCCTCGTCTTTGGGGGCCTAGGGACATGCACTAGAGCGAACAGGTCCCAAGCATGTGGCCTAGCCTTTTCCAATATGGACCGGGAGTCAAGGCTCAGATAAGGTTATCCCCCTGACCTCCGACACCGGGGACCTGCCGACCCGTTAGGACCCTAAGATGTTTAGACTAGATGACGTGGGAGACGGGGAGTTGGCTGCCCTCCCCGCCCTCTTGCTCCAGCCAGAGCCTTGCTGCCCCCCGCCCCGTGCCCCCTGCTGCTGGGAAAGCCGGTGGCCGCGGGCGGCGGGCGGGCTGCCCAGACCACTGCGTCACCCCTGCGTTAGGCGGGCGGTGGGTGACTCATCACACATTAACGGTCAGGGTGTGGCGGTGGAGTGGGGGGCGGCTGTAGGGCTGGCCTGTAGGACCAGGACCGGAAATGAACAAGCCTCCTTAAAGCTCTTTGCAGGCTTCTTAGAGCTGGTACCGAGGAAGTTCTGGGGGAACCTGGCGGGGCAGAAAGCTGTGGGCTGGGAATAGGGAAGGACTGGGTGTGGAGATCCGGTGTAGGAGGAGACCTGTGGCTTGGACGAGTTCTTTCTTTTATTCCAGAACACTAGACAAAGGGACAGCTCCCCATTTCCAACTCTCACCCCATTTATCCTTCTTAGTCCCACAACCCAAACCAAATCAAGTCCATTGCCACTGAGTCCACAGAGGAGACAGAAAACTGCAGAAAATGCCAAGATAGGACGAGGAGATTGGCCTTACCATTCCAGAAGCAGCAAATAGCCTTTGTCCAAGGGCTCCTCCCTCCCACACCCATAGTCTGGTTTCTGCTTCTGCCCCCTGGGGATTGGCCTCTAATCCTTCCTTCAGCCCTCCTCCCTCCAGAATTCTCAGGTATGGAACTCTCTAGATCTGCACACTCCTTAGATTTCTTTTCATGAACTGCTTCCTTGAGTCTGCTTCTTTACCCCCAAATGGCCCATCTCTTCCAAATGCCCCTTCCACCACTGCTTCCTGGAAGAGTCTTTTGCATCTGGCTTTTTCCCCCAGCAAACTACTGGGGTGTGTGTGAACCTTTCTCCAGGCCCCACCTCTGCCCACAGTGTTCAGGCCTTCTCATCACCCCATCTATGTTGAATGGATGTCTCTGCCCAGTGCCCCTGCCCTGCCCCCATTCCTGTGTTTGGTACACAGAAGCCATGGCAACAGTCCCTACCTCACCCCCTCCTCCCACGCAAACCTTGTGGTTTCCTGTTTGTGTCATTTCAACTGCTTTCTCTTCTGTTCAGGCCTGTTGATGCTGAGGGGGCTTCCCTAGGGGACCCTGTAACCATAGGTCTCCCACTGTATGCCACTTCCCAGCACTTCATTTTGTGGGCAGGTGCCTTTAGGGCTCTTTCAGTTCCTGCCTCAACTCTTGAGTTGGGACCTTTCCCTTGTGTACTATCTCCACAGTGAATAGATAATCCTTTTGTCTTCCTGGTTAGCACTTCAGCCAGGAACCCTCAAGTGCTGCCCCCCCCTTTCCTTAGGAATTGGAGTTGGGTGGGGTGAGGTAAACTTCCAGCCCAGGGTCTGGTGGGGCTGAAGGTTGGAAATCCCTTTTGTAGCCAGTCCTTCTTTCTCATACCGTTGTAATCCCGTGGGTGAGGGTAAGAGTTGTTCCCACAGCCATAGTCAGTTCTAGACTTTAGCATTCTCACTGCCAACCTACCCCCCAAGTTGTCCAGCTGTTGTCTTCTCCTGGGATCCCCAGTGAGAGGCTTCTCCCATGACTGTCTTCCAACTCGGCATCACTCTTCTCCTCACTTTAGAAAAGGACTTGCTGTTTTTCCTTCAAGGGAGCTCAGGGTCTGATCTCCTGAGCATCTGTCGACAGGGTGGGTCTCTCCAGCTCAGCAGCCGCAGCCCATCAGCTCCTGCCTGATTGTGGGGGTTGGGGCAGAGAAACAGCTGCAGAACAGGCTGGGTCCAGCTGGACCCACCCGTTTGCCACGCTGGGCCCTGCAGCTTGGGCTCTTCAGCACTTGAGGGCAGTAGCCCCAGAGTGCAACAGAGACCCTGCAGCTGGAGGCCTCTGTCCTGCTAGCTATGTCCAGGCCCCGGAGTATGAGAGAGGCCCTCAGCATCCATGCTCTTCCCTCTGTCCAGAGGTGGATCTGCCCTTCCCCCTGGGCACACACTGACAGGATCTGGTTTCCATCTCTGCTCTCTCCTTCTAACCCTGAGTTAATCATTCTCCTGCCCTTTGTGTCACAGCAAGTCCTGGGCCTCAGGCCACTTGGCCCCATGCAAACTCAGTAAAGCCACCATGAAACAGCTCCTAGAAGACAGATCTAGAAACTTGGGTGGGAAATAGGGCAACAGCCTCTAGCTGCCTTCTGCCATCTCTCCCAGGCATCCCTTTCTCTAGGAGAGGTTTTAGTCCTTTTTTTGTAGACTGAACAGTGGCTGAAGAGGAGTCCTGGTAACACAGTGGTTAAACATTTGACTGCTGACAGAAAGGTCAGTGGTTAAATTCTCCACTGTTTTTAGGGAAAAGATATGGCAGTCTGCTTATAGTCTTGGAAACCATATGGGGCGGTTCTACTCTGTCTTGTCAAGGGGGCTGGGAGTTGGAATTGACTTTGGTGGCTGAGACAGGAGGGTTCTGAGCTGATGGAGCTGAGCTGAGGTGGGAAAGGAAGCTGGTCTTCCTCCTTTGCTTTTTCCTCTAGGCCTCGGAGGGAAGCCTGCCTTCCCCAGCTGACTGTGTGCGTGGCTGGTGGCACAGGTCAGAGCTCAGACCCACATTTGGCTGGCCTAGCTTTCAGCCTGGTGGTGGGTTGTTCTTAATGAAGTTTAAAAATAACTGATTTATAGGGAGCCGCGCTTTTTTTTTTGCCGGAAATATGCAGCTCAGCTTGATAAGAGGAGTAGGAAGGATCTCACTGGAGTATGAGGGCGGGGATTGGCCTGAGATACAACCACTGGCTGAGAACCTCTCCTGGGCTCTGAGACTGTGGGCTGAGCTGTATTGATTGGTGCTGCAGCGACACCCACCCCACCAAGTCTGGCCGCTTGTACTGAGGCTCAATTTGAGGCCTATTATGGGAGTGGTCAGATGTTTAACCTGAGGTATTTGGGAGGGAGGGGGGGCCAGAGTGACTTCGTCCCTTAAAACTGACCTGGCTTGACCTGGATACAGAAGTGGGGGGAAGTGGCAACTCCTTTCCCCCTCTTTGGATGGAGGTGCCTGTCCTCGGGATCCCCTTTTGTGGAGAGGGAAAAGTTTTAACTGTTTACAGAGTAAGAAAGAGAGCTGGGGATGGGGACAGGAATGAGGATGCAGGGGGGACAGAGACACTATGTCCCTTCACTGGTTCCTGTTCTTTCTAGGTATCTACATCCTCCTTGAATGTGAGACCCAGGCCTCAAGGTACTGGGTGGGGAGCTGCTTGCAGAGAGGTGCTGGAACTCAGGCTACTCAGGAAATCACCTAGGGTTGCTAACCACAGTGCTCAAACTAAGCCCAAGAAATCCTCCTGTGTACTTACTTACCCATCTTTTTCTCTCTTCCTCAGCTTTTCTAAAAATACTACTCAACGATACTGTATTAGTTTCTTAGTACTACTGTAACAAATTATCGTAATCTTAATGGTTTGAATCTATAGGTGTAGAAGTCAGTTATTTTTGAGGAGTCTCAGCAGGCCGAAATCAAGGTGTTGGCAGGACTGTACTCCTGGGTGGCTCTAGGGGTTAACCCCTTCTCTCACCTTTTCCAGCTTCCAGAAGCCACCTGCAGTGGCTTTGCTCATGGCCCTTCATCACTCCAACCTCTGCTGCTCTTACCACATCTCTTTCTCGGGTTCTGACTCTGATGCTCCTCTTTCACCTGTGAGGCCCCTATGACTAGCTCAAGGTCCTTCATTTAATCGCATCTGCATTAGAAAGTTAACCTAAGTCATGGTTGGGTTGTGGGAGTTAGGACAGGGACATCTTTGGGGGGCAGGGTATTGCTACTCTTCTCCATACCACAGCTTCTAGGAAGGAGAATAGAATTCACTCTTAATGCCTGGTTTCTCATGTGAAGTTCTTTTTGTCTCCTGATACCTATTAAGAGTTGGCTAAAAACTATCTCTTCAAAGAAGCCCCCAAGCCTGCTTCTGCCCATACTCTTGTTGAGTTTCTGTAATGTGCTGCCTGTTGTACTAGCTTTGCCCTTCCATATGTACTCACCATGTCTCCCTAATGACACTTTGGGCAACTTTAAAACGAAGTACTTCTATTGATGTCCCATTCCCTGGCATAATAAATAGTGCATGCTCCATAGAAACCCAGTGGTTGATAGAGGCTCGATCTATCTAGGCCTTCACCTGTGGCATACATTTCCCAAGCTGCTCCATGTTCTTCATCTCCTTGAATGCTGCTGCTTCTCAGGGGGATAAGCATGGTTAGGGGGTTGAACAGTTTGCTTTTGCAAAAGCAGACTAGCCCAAATGAGAGGCTGAACTTCCAGTCTTGGTCTTTAGTTGTTATTAGATGCCATAGAGTCAAGTGACTCAAAGTGATCCTTTGAACAACAGGTCTGACCCTGTTCTATCTTGTGCCATCTCTGACACACTTGAGCCCTTTGCTGCAGTCACTGTGTCAGTCCACTTGGTCTTCCTGTCTTTTGCTGTCCCTCCGTCTTCCCAGGTATGATGTCCCTCTCCAATGATAAACCCCTCTTAGCAACATCCACCAGATATTGCTACCATATAGCCATATCTTCAGTGGGTTTTATGCCTGAATCTAGTAATAAACAGATTGTCCAGATGAAATTTTAAGTGGGGAATCCATAGCTGGCCTGCGTCTTAGATAACATTTCCTAGAGCTCTGTGTAAAAGGGCCTCCCTCTGGTGACATAGTGCGTTGAATGTTGGGTTGTTAACGAAAAGGTTGGCAGTTTGGATTCACCTGCTGCACCGTGGGAGAAAGATGGGCAGTCTCCTCCCTTAAATATTTACAACTTCCGAAGCCAGGAGTTGGGATGAACTCATTGACAGTGGGTTTGAGTTTGGGTTCTGAGTAGTACTGTGTCCAAGGGTTAAGAAGAGATTTCCCTGGTATGGCAACAGTTCTGGTTCTCACCCCTGAAGAGATACAGTGTGCATGTCTGCAGGCAGAATCCTTCACCCCCATTCGCTGCAGAATGCTGACCCCATGCCTGGATGTGTTCTCCCCATAGCTGCTACTACCCTTCAGAATGGCAAACAGAGGACCTGCCTATGGCTTGAGCCGGGAAGTGCAGCAGAAGATCGAGAAACAGTATGACCCAGATCTGGAGCAGATCCTGATCCAGTGGATCACCTCCCAGTGCCGCAAGGATGTGGGCCGGCCTCAGCCTGGCCGGGAGAACTTCCAGAACTGGCTCAAGGACGGAACGGTGAGAGCTGGGCCCACTGGGACTCTGGAAGTGCTGAGGAACAGGGTTGAGTGTGGGGACCTTGGTGTAATTCAACCTGAAGAGGAGAAGGCTAAAGGCATCCCAGTTCCCAAATCTTCATAAGTATTGACATCTTGTCCAAAGACTCCTGATTTCCTTCCTTCCTCCCAGTGAAGGCTGAGGAGAAGTATCAGTCTTCCTATAGCTGGAGGGCCCTAGGTGACACCAAAGAGGAAGAGAGTCCACTGTAGTCTGAGGGAGATTAGAATGAAAAAGGAAGACTAACCACTGAGCTTTCATTGTGGCCTCAGAAGCACCCTTGGTGCTCATTCCAGCTGGGATCTGAACTGTCTTCTGGCAGAAGGGGAGGCTTTCTGGTCCACAGCTGCTGGTGTCAAAGACAGCACATGCCAACCCACCGTAAGCATGTCTTCACCTCTGCATGTCTGCTCTCCTTCACCTAGGTGCTTTGTGAGCTCATTAATGGATTGTACCCTGAGGGCCAGGCCCCAGTAAAGAAGATCCAGGCCTCCACCATGGCCTTCAAGCAGATGGAGCAGATCTCTCAGTTTCTACAAGCAGCTGAGCGCTATGGCATCAACACCACTGACATCTTCCAGACTGTGGACCTCTGGGAAGGTGAGTCAGGAATGGGGTCTGGGGTCTGGAGGCTGTTCTTGGGGAAACCAGAGGCCAGGCTGGGATCTCATCTTGACCAGCGACAGAGAGGGGTGTATATGTTTGTTTATAGGAGAGTTAGTTATGTTGGGGATGGGAGTGGAAAAGGATATGGGGAGAGAGGGCCAGACCAATGTATTTGAGTGATGGAGGTAAAATCTCGGTATCCAGGGCCCCAGTCCTGCTGAACCCAACACACCCCTTCTCCTTCCTAGGGAAGAACATGGCCTGTGTACAGAGGACGCTGATGAATCTGGGTGGACTGGCGGTAGCCCGAGATGATGGCCTCTTTTCTGGGGATCCCAACTGGTTCCCTAAGTAAGTATTGTTCGGGCAGCTTCAAGACCAGGGCAGTATCCTTGGCCACTCATGTCCCTAAGAATAGCTGGCCCTTTCCAAAGCATTTTCCCACTTTTCATCTCACTTAATCCTTGTAACTCCGTGGGATGCCAAGTGACTGTCCTCTTTGAGATGAAATGAGAAGGAGAATTCAGAAAGCTTAAGGCTCTCATAGCAGAGCTGGAAGGAGCGCTGGGCCCAGAGCAAGGCTTGTGCTTTGTCCAGAAAAGAGCTTTACTGGAAAAACCTCTGACTACCTTCTAACTACCGCACGCTCTCTCTCTTCACCCAGGAAATCCAAGGAGAACCCACGGAACTTTTCAGACAACCAGCTGCAAGAGGGCAAGAATGTGATAGGGTTGCAGATGGGCACCAACCGTGGGGCATCTCAAGCAGGCATGACCGGCTATGGGATGCCACGCCAGATTCTCTGATCCTGCCCGGCCCCCTGTCCTACCCTCCCGTGAATGGTTAATATATATAAATATTTTTTTTAGCAGTGATATTCCCTGAGAGCCCCAGAGCCCTCAAAGCTCCCCTTGCCAGTTTTGGGTACAGACTGGCCAGGCCTGTCTCCTCTGGAGGTGTCCCCTGGTGGCCTCTCTTCATTTTTACTAATACATTCCCATTTCTTTCCCCAAATCTACCAAAACTGGACCAACTGGCTTCTTTTACCCTGGGAACAAAATTTGGGGCTTACCCCCTGATTCTTTTTCTCTCTGAGCTCTCTTCCTGGGCTTTGCACCCTCAGTCCATTCCTTGGCTGCAGCTCAGGGCTACTGCCTCCTGGCCTTCGGGTGTTGGACTGGCCGCCCTTCAACAAGCTGTGGCTGCAGGGATTTAATTTATAGGGTGGGGCCTGTGGCGGCTGCCACTCCAGCCACAGCTGGACTGTGTTCACCGCACATCTGGGCAGTAGTCCTTAGCTGAAGCCCTCTTGGCTTCCCACTTTCCATTCCCCTTACTGTGGCTAAGGGGCAGCAGTGAGGGGACAGAGGAGGGAGGGCTGCCTGCCATGGTCTGGGCCTTGAGGAATGTGAGCGTACTGATTTAAATAAAGAATCCCAGTCTTTTTTGACTTCCAGCTGTGTCTAGAACCACTGTGTACCCACTGTGGGGAAGGGAGGAATATTGGGAAAAGGGCAATGAATGATCCAGCGACTGAGGGCTTTGACATGAGATGTTGCAATGCCAACCACCTCTTCACTGGTGCTGTAGGTGGGTTAAGGTTGAGAATAAATGAGACCTCACAGCAGCTCTTGGGCTGGAGGCCATAATGCAGGGTCTGTTGGCAGTGTCTCCAGTGAGGTAAAGGCCTAACCCACCCAGTAGATTTCTGAGCAGGACAGTCTTGCCTGGAGCTCCTGGCTGGATTCCATTCCCTAGCTTCTCAGCCAATGTGAGAGGGTGGGGTTGACTCTTGGCATAACCCCCAGTCCTGGCAGGTGCTGACAGGTGCATCCATTTTCACGTAGGAGGCCCCTCCAACAGGCTTGGGGCAAGGTGACCTCCAACTGGAGTTGGCCAGCCCAGTTTGGGAGTGAGGATGCGGTAGGTAGTGAGGAGGGCCTGGAAAGCCAGCCAGGGAATGAGCAAGAGTGGACTGCAATGAGAAAGGGACTTGGGATGCACCCTCCTGGGGAGAGCCTACCAGGCGACCTTCCCTTCTGAATGGGTGCTTTGAAACGAGAGGATCAATTTTGGGGTCAGGACCAGTTATTTCTCCTCAATTTCCAGTCGCTATCAAGTTGATTTCAATTTTCTCAATTGCCATGAAGTTGATTACAATTTATGATAATTTCATGTGTCACAATAGAACAGACTCCATAAGGTCTTCAGTGACTGTTTTGGAAGTAGATGCTAGACTAGTCTAAGGTGATTCTAAGTGGACCACCCATGTTTGTTGCCACCTGACTAGTCAGATCTGTGGCTTTCCAATATCTGGGCCTGGCCTCCTGCATCAAGTCCCACTCCCATCAGACAGCCTAGTTAGGGGCCTAACTTCCATTATCCTTCTCCCTCTTTCTATTTTAGGATGTCTCTTTAGGAGAGGAAAGCTACCAAATTTTACCTGAAGGAGATGGGTGATATAGTGGCTTATAACCAGAGTTTTCATTCTCTCAGCCCTCATGTGCTCCCTTTTGAGCTTGGCTCCCCACTGCCAAGAAGTACCTACTGTGTGCTGGCTCCATGCCATTCAGTGCTTTACATTAGCCTCAGCTTGGTGACTCTTTGGACACCAAGATGCTATTTGTTCTTTGCTGCACTCATTCCCATAGGCTGTGACACAGATATGGTAGCCTGCAGCTTATGTTCAAATTCTCATAGGATTTGCTGTCACAAGGACCCGTTATCTCCTATTTAGGGAACCTTTGTGGAATGCAAATGAGTAAGAATGATGTCATTACAGATAACACATTGAGTTCACTGATATTTGTACTAAAAACGAAACTATTTGCCACCTTCTCTAACTTAACTGGCAATAGCTACAGATTACTGATAACATGCCTCACAACCTTCTGAGAGAGACAACCTTCTGAGGCACCAAGACAAAACCACTACAGTCTCCTATTTGATTCCTATAGTAGCCCAAGAGGGGGCTAAGACTTGATTATATTCCCTGTTTTGTATGAATGTGCAGACACTGGGTCTCAGAAGCTGATAACTTGCCCAACACAGCAAAGAAGTGGAACAAGTATTTGAGCTGTGAGCCTGGCCGAACCTGTGCCGTTCTGAGCTTAGCAAGATGTAGAGTGGTAGAAGTGCTGGGAGGACAAAAGAAGGGGGATTCCTCCCCTATATGCAAGAGAGATAATTCCTCAGGGGGTTATCGTAAAGATAACTTACTGCTAGTCCAAAGGTTCTGATCCTCCATGGCATTTCTAATCCTCCATGGCTCTGAGGGAAGAAGATGGACAATCTCCCATACAGCCTCTGAAAACCCACTAGAGATGTTCAACTATGAGACAATTTTGACTCAGTTGTGTTGAGCTAGGTAGAAAAAAACTTTGCATAAGGAGCCCTGGTCATATGGTGCTTTGCATGTTGTGCTGCTAATTGAAAAGTTAGCAATTCAAACTCGCCAGATGCTCTGCTGGGAGAATGGCCCTGGGTTTGGTTTTAGGTAAAATTTTGCGTAGTGCCTGTTGCTGTTCGGTGCCGTTGAGTTAAATATGACTCATAGTGACCCTATGAACAGCAGTCCTGTCCTGTGCCATCCTCATCATCTCTGACACACTTAAGCCCATTGCTGCAGTCACTGCGTCAGTCCATCTCATTGGAGATCTTCCTCTTTTACTGACACTCCACCTCTTCTAGCTACATGTTGCTTAATGTCTAGAGAATAATAAGTGCTCAAGAAATGTAAATGTGTTGACCCTCAGGAGAGAGAGGAGATATAATTCCTTGTAATGTCATTACACTTCAGCACAAACCAAAGATGGTTGGAGAAGGCATATTTTTTTTTTTAATTTTGTTATTGTTGTGTACTGTAGAGCTGGAATCAACCAACAGCTGAGTCTCTAGCAGGTTTTCAGAGGCAGTTAATTGCACAGGAGGACATTGCCCATCCTTCTTCCGTTGAGTAGCTGGTGACCTCGAGCCACATGCCTTTGGGATTGCAGTACAGTTTCTTAGCCACCAGGCCAACAGAGTTCATATCCTCTATTCACTAAAATTCCAGCTCTCTGCACATTCCATTATAATACTTTGCTTTGACCTCCTGAGCTGCCCTTTCTTGATATTCCAGTGCAATCTTTAAAATCTCTTCTGACATCCATTTAGATTTTGTTTCTTTCTCCTCTTTTTGTAATTAACTTTTGCTTTCTTCATGGATGGTATCCTTGGTATCATCTCACAACTCATCTGGTCTTTTTGATCATTGGTATTCAGTGACTCAAACCTATTTTTAAGATGATGATGGAATTCAGATGGAATTGATTCAAGATCGTATCTTGGTTCCTGCAGACTTATTTTCATTTTCTTCAGCCTCAGTGCTGGAGAAGAGTATTGAATATACCATAGACTGTTAGGAGGACAAACAAGTTTGTCCTGGAGAGGGTGAAGCCAGGCTGTTCCTTGGAGGCCAGGATTCTGAAGCTTCATCAGACATACTTTGGACATGTTGCAAGGCAGGATCAATCCTTGGAGAGGGACATCATGCTTGGGAGGGTCGAGGGATAGTGCAGGAGAGGAAGACCCTCAATGAGATGGATTGATTAAGTGACTGGGGTAATGGAGGTAGGTGTGTCTGAGACAATAAGATTGGCAAGGGATAGAGCAAGGTTTAAGGCTGTTGTACATAGGATCATAATGGGTTGCAGGTGACTGAACGACACACAGCAACAACAACATGAGTAATTGATTATCTGACCCACAGTCTGCCCCTGACCTAATTTTGACTGCTGATATTGAACTTCTCTACTGATTTCTTCCACAAATGTAGTTAATCTGATTCCTATGTAGCCCATCAGGTGAAATTCATGTGTAAAGTCATCTTTTGTGTCTTTTAGAAAAAGTATATCATTGTAAATATAAAATCCAGTCATTCTATCAATTAATACCCTTGGTACCAGCAGTCAGGAAATAAAGGGACATATTCCACTGGGAAAATCTGCAGTTAGGGAATTTTCCAAATTATTGAGTAGTGATATCAGTTTGAGGACTAAGGTACCGTCTGATTCAGACCATAGACTTTCTAACTTCTAGCTATGCATCCGAGACCAGGGCAAAGAATAAGGATGATAGAAAAAGAATTGGTGCCCTTGAGCTGTGGTATTGGAGAAGAACACTGAACATCCCATGGACGGCCAAGAGAAATAAGAGTTATGTCTGGGAGAGGGTGCAACCAGAGTGCTCTTTGGAGGCAAGAATGATGAGGCTTCCACTCACATACTTAAGGCATGCTGCTAGGAGGTGCTATTCCTTGGAGAAGGACATGATTTTGAGAACGGTGGAGGGTTGGCTAAGGAGAGAAAGACCCTCAACCAGGTGGCTTGACATGGTGACTGCTGCAATGGGCTCTTGTCAGAAAGTGTGAGGTTGGCACAGGACAGAACTGGGTTCAGATCTTTTACTCATAGGGTCGTTATGAGTTTTACTTGACTCAGCAGCACCTAACAACAACAATTCTTAAAATAATTTATTTCTTAAGGACAAACAAACAAAGCTAAAGAACAAAGATATCAGTTTAAAGAATAAGATTTGCCTGACTGAAGCCCTGGTATTTCAGTTACTTCATATGTGTATGAAAGCTGGGCAGTAAATAAAGAAGACAAAATTGATAGCTTGAATTGTGGTGCTGGTGAAGAGTATTGAATATACCATAGATTACCAAAAGAACAAACAAATCTGTCTTGGAGAATTGCAAATGGGGTCTCCTTCAAGGCAAGGGTGAGGAATCTCTGCCTCCCATTCAGTGGGAATGTTATTTAGGAAGGGCCAGTTCTTAGAAGGAGACATGCTTGGAAGGGTCAAAGGAGAGGAAGACCTTTAACAAGATGGATTGACATGTTGACCACAACATTGGCTTAAGCACAGTGGGGAAATGAGGATGGAATGGGATTGGGCAGAGTTTTAATCCATGGCACATGAGGTTGCTATGAGTTGCTATGACTTGATAACACCTG